ACCCGGGTCGCCCGATTCACAGTCCAACGCACTACCTATTAAGCTTACCGGTCGGCTGTGGTCCTTTTTGTGTGTAGTGTGTGTAGTCTAGGGTCCATCCGCCATCCCAAAAGTCGTTGTATGTATTACAATGGTTGGATACCACAGCATCACGCACCTGCAAAATATTTCCAATCGGACTGTAATCCCGTCGAGTTGAAGATAAAATATGTTTTTTATTCTAAAGCATCGGTAGAATATAAAAAAAATAAAAAATAATTAATTATTGATATACATGTACTAGTAATTGTTAAAAACGTTTAAATTTAAGCCTGAAAACGGGATAAATTTTGTTTGGAAATCCAAGCGGGAGAATTTAGGAAAATACTTTTACCCGTTTTTAGCTCGATTGTATTAGACGCTTTAGACTTATAAATAGAAACGCTCTCGAATCTGTTCCTGGATCCAACCAGTACTGAGCAATTAGTAGACGTTTTTTTGCTCAAGGAAACAATGGGTACGTTCGGAGTAAATCCATTGGTAATCATTGGTAGGTTTTCTAACCATTTGCATACAAATGGTACCTGTGTTAAACATCAAAATTTGCCATTGGCATATAAATTTGCAGGAAGACTAGTGCTTTGGAAGTGATTGGCAAGTCTTACTTATGATGTCATTCAAAATGGCGAACCTGGTCTTATTATCATTGTTGTATGAAAAATTAATTGATCATATTGGGTTTTTATAGAATTGCACATTTACAAAAGTGTAAAGGTTTTTAAATAAAACAAATTGTTTCAAGATAACATTTATTAATAAAAATACGAGTATAAGTTACAATTAAAGCTGGATCAAGCTAAAAGATCAGTCGGTGTTCACCTTTGGTATCAATGTTTTTATCCCAATTGCACAAATAGTATGATAAAATCCGTTCAGAGTAACTTGTCAACCAGTGGTACAAATAATGATTAAGGTAACCAATGGTATTTTAGTATTGGTAACACTGGGAATAGTCTGAATGCACCCAAAGACTTGCCCCTGATGGGGTTTAAACCCACGCCGCTGGAGATCTTAAGATAGCTAGCTCGACGCGTCAACCACTAAGCCATGCCGCCAAACTTATACAAACCAATATACCAGTTAAAACATCAACTTTGTTTAATTTTAGTAAATCAAACGGCCACACATCATAGTTTTAGGTTCATTAAATGTTCAGAAATCAATGTTAAAAATCACACGAACGTAAATGTTAAAATAACAAATCAAAATTAGGTTTCAACCTAAAAATGTGGTTATGTTTCGTTATTCAACAGCGATTGTGATATTTAAATGTTTTTGTTCTTTTTCTTATTTTTGTTCTTGTTTTGTTTGATTTCAAACTCTTCGATGGTCATAGCTCGAGGCATCTCCCATTCCTCGGACGAGGGAAGTTTCCTCGGAGGTCTAATAGCTCCAGGCATCTCCCATTCCTCGGACGTGGGAAGTTTCCGCGGTGGTCTTTGTTCGTTGTCGCTTCTGCAATGTATGAATTTCATACTTAATATAATTTTGGTATGAATCATATTAAATTAGGAAACACCTGGCTGGTGTTCCATAATGATTGATTAATCAGACAAAAAATCATTATCACAATTAATACCTTTAATTGAATTGTCCCTCTTTCAATCTGAACAAAACATTTCATCATTTTTAAAAAGAAAATCAAAATATTTACTGACTGAATAGCAAACAATGCAGACCATTGGCAAACTATTTATTAAGAAATTTTGAGAATGACTTTTAGTCGTTGAAATAAGTTCACATTTAAATTTATATTTGTATACAACTGACCCTGACAAGGATATTTGATTTATAGAATTTATCTAAAAACGATCTGACATGAGCTGCCATATGATATTATGAGATTTTTATGCATTGTCCAGTGCAACACCGAAATCTGATGGACGAGTTCACAACTGTTAAACCTTTATTGGACGATGTGCTCGCCGAATCTGTGGTTGCTGTTTTGTGCCAAGTTCGTGGGGCGCTGGGCGAAGTATTTGCGTGTTTTCGCCGAGCGAAAATACCACATGGCATAAATAAGCCAGCATATATAGGTTTTACAGCTGCACCTGCTAGCGTTACGCGTTATATACACGTGACTGTGTAATATGTTACTTTATTTTACATTAAAAACAAGCAGCGTTAAGTGATATAAGTTCGTTCCTTTTCTATATTTTTCCATTACAACCATCTGGAACAAAGTGATCCCTCGGAAGCATTAATCACAACAAAATTACATGAAAATTGCAGACTCGGTTCCATTGATGAGGGATAATGAATAAGTGCAACATCCCTCAAGCCCCCTAGAACCGGCTTGAGTGGTACTCAATTCTCAGTCATATTCAGTGCTTAGAAAGGGACTTTATGTAGAGTAACATAATTTAAAGAAACTGCGCTCTTGAAATTCAATAACTGATTGATAGTAACTTTCCTTGTTAGAGCATTTGTTTTTAGCCGAACTTCCTGCTTTCCATCTGTACCGTAAGAATAAATTCCTCTTCTACCATTATTCCATCGAACCTGTAACGAAAATATTCAGATAAAATATTTTTAAGATATTTTAACCTATCGTTATGCTGAGTGTTATCAACTATACGTTATGTATTCTTTTTTTTGACCTTTAAAGGGGACTCCACAGAGTTGTTTTTGTTTGTTTTGCAGTTGTTGCTGTTGTTGGTTTTTGTTGTTGTTTTCGATTTCACAATCTATTTCGGAGTATATTTCTAAATTATATATTGCATACCTTTCTGTTTAAGTTTCCTATCTGACTTATGTAGAAAATTATTTTTAATGTTTCGATGCTTTGGTAGTTGTTGTTATTTCTTTTCTTCTTTTTTCTTTTAACCTCATTGGAGTTCCTTTAAACATATTAAAAACAGGATGAACAGGATTTACATGAATAGACAAACAAACAATTTTCCTAGTTTCATTTTGTAAGCAGAAGAAAAATGTACATTTTACCTACCAACACAGAGTTTGCTCGTTTGTCTAATTTTATAACAACACCATTATCTACATTGCCCTCAGAATTTTTCCAATCTTTACCTGAAAATAATGAATTTTGCAAATACTTTCATTGATTTCTAAACAAACTAAAACAACACATCAAGAGCGTCCAGTGATCACGTGTGTCGCCTTATGAAAGCCAATTGCCGCTACGTTGTAGAAGAAGGCACAACTGTTATTTACATATTTTTTCATTATTCAAGGACCATAACTCAGTTAAATTCCTTAACCGGGAAGCCCGATTAATATGGCAGGCGACACAAAGAATGTCATTATAAAATTATATGTTTTTTTGTTGTTGGTGGTTTTTTTGTCATTGTGTATTTTTATTTATTTTCAAAATTATTACTTCATCAATAACTTTAAACCAAAATGAATATTTCGCTACAAACCTGGAACAACTTGACATCCAACAGCATTACTTCCCCTGGTTTTAGGATCCTCGGCTCGTCAACAACTAGTACGCTGTATGCCCTTGGACCGTAATGGTATGTTTTTTTTAATCCATTATTATCCACATTCACACCATACATGGTTGTCTTTGTGAAAAATTAATTTGTTTCATTATAAAGAGTGTAAGTTTAATATGAAAAAGGCAAAGCCTCAAAGCGAGCTCGATGTACTTTTAACGTGAAATAGTATGAAATAATCGCTCATTTTATTTCAAATGCAGTGACGAGTGCTTGTGACGTCACACGTACTGTGTTAAATATGGCTCCGCCCCTGTCGTTAAATGAATAACGAGTTTTGAAAACGTTGATAAAACTTTGTTTGTTTATTTTATTTCACTCTATAATTTTTCAAGCGAAATAAATATTATTAAAAGTGAAATAAATGTAAAACTTAAAACGTTTGCGACATTAAAATAGCGTACTTGGTTTGATTGTTTTGCACGTGCTATTTGGCGCTACATTGTGACGTCACGTAAACAATAATTTAAACGCCTGTACAGCGTTAACGACTGAATAAAAGATATTGGTGTTAGGATTCTTTTTCTTAGTTAGACCATTTTCTTTATTCTAGATAGTTTTCACAACAAAATTCGAAAAAAAATTGTTTTTATTTATCAGATTTTTCAAACAAAATGACGTCTTCAATTTTCATTTTACATTTTCCGTTTTAAAACTGTCATTCGATATTTTAGACACAGCTTCCGTTATTCTGGTTCCCTGTCCAATTAATGGTTCCCATAGACGTGCGCGGGTGACCAGTCTACACATCCGTTTTCAGTCAGAATTCCTCAGTTTTTATCGTTATCTTTAAATTCGAAAAGTTGCGATGTGTCCAATTCGATACTTCGGACGAAAGTTTTCAAAACCATCACTTAGCAGGTACTCGCGTTACCGTAAAGCACGCTTTGCGAGCAGGCCCTTCGGGCCAGCTCGTCGAGCTCGCAATAATTGTAGTGAATTAGCATTTTGTGTCTAAGACAAAGTACTTCATTCTTTACATTTTGCTATATTTACGATATATTACTGCACGTTAAGAGCATAAAGTGCCTTAAAAGATTTAAATATATAATAGTATGAAACGAATAATAATATCAGTTTAAACGTGAAATTAATTACAAGACTTAACAATATTACTTAATCCATAGCAAGAGCTGTCAGTCAGACAGCATGTTCGACTTTTCTCACTGCTTGAGCCTGGATAATGAAGAATGCGTTTAGTCCAAAAAAGGGCCATAGTTCTGTCAAAGTGCATGATAAACTTATGGGTCTTGGATAAAGACCTTTTATTATGCTGCTAAATAAGTATGTGAAGTTTCAACCCATTCTCCTTATTATCTTTTGAGGTACCATCTTGCACGCAAAAACTTTACACAAGTGTGACACCGACGAGCGGGTAAGTACAATACTCTTCCTATTCCCACGAATAGTCGAACTTAAATTATCAATCTTACAGCACGTTACGAAACAATCAGATAAAATATTTTTAACAAAACTAATGTCACGTTAAGCAAAGAATTACCATCACCGTCGTGGCCTATCACTGTCCCAGGACCATTGCCATCTTGGGTTATTGTATTTCCAATTTGGGACCACGTTCGCACGCGGCAAACCAATTTCCGGTAATGTAGTGCTAGTTTTCTCCTCGTACATGTGTACGCAGTCAACAACAATTTCAGCATGTTCTTCTATGTGATGTTTGAATCTTTCCTGTATATTCCTCATATCCTTCTGCAAAGTTGTGTAAACATTATTTTTGTATCATAGTTTGGGGACCTTTCTGTTGAAAATGTGTCAGGGTTAAATCGAATACATATACATGCACAGTGCGTTAACTGGAGTGCAGTTATTAGTTATCCGCACTCAAGAGCATGCCTATTGATTGGCTCATTTTTGCTGGGGTTTACATATTGTTACGGCAGAGAAAGGGTTAGCGACAGAAAGATTATATTCAGATGTTCGTTCATTGGTTCCTTTTTGCCGGGGTTTCATATTGTGACAACAGGGAACGTGTTTTTATGTTTGATTATGATACAAAAGAGGAAGAACATCAAAACACTCGGCAATCTGATACGCCCCCTCGTACAAATCAGATAGCCTCGTGTTTCGATGCTCTTTCTATTACTTACAAGAAAAGCATTGATGCAAAGCATCAAAGGGCGTCCAAGCAAGAAATGCAGCAAGTGAAGATGAACTAGTACATATATGATGACAAGATATTCTTATAAACTACCAGAAATGTATACCACTTATGAATGAGCGGACGAAAGACATTGTTCATTATGAACTTTGATTGGCATGCTAGAGATTAGAATATTACTTGTTATTTCTTTATGATCGTGGTTATTAATAGCAACGGATATACATGTATGCAATCATTTATAATCCATATGTGTAACGCATGATCAACACGTACCACACATTTGTCCCTTATTATGTACATGTTATCGCTATTAGCGAAGACCCCCTTAAGGTATCTGTTCACACTTTAAGTTAGTAAAAATATGACACTGGTTATATTACCATGTTGATCATGTTGAGCATAATTGTTTATTATACAATAATTGTAATATCTTATTAATTTTAATTTAAAAAAAATACAAATTTTATGAATATTGTTTTCTTTTATTCTTTTTGTGTTTATGTGCTATTTTAATACTGAGTTTTTTACTACTCTTTTTATTAAAATTGTAAAATAAATTTAAGAATTCAATTGTCATATTGACCGACGATTATAAGTCAAAGCTTAACTGGAAAAAGTCAGTAAATTATGGTTTATCTTTCAATATATAATATTGTTTATTCTTTAAACCATGTACATGTACATTGTATTTTTCTTTATCATTTTTAAATTATCGATCAATTGAATAATTCATAAAATCTAATTTGTAACTTTGAATAATTCCTCGGCATCTTTACTAAACACGGATAACAAATTGAATAATTAAATAAAATGTTTTCAAAGTTGATAATGTCATTTTAATACCATAAAAAATGTACCTTTTTCTCAATTATTGTACATATCACGGATTTTATATTACATATAAATCCGTGTACATATTTATTGTTTTTATCTCATATAGATAAAATGAAACATGCTATTGTTGTTTTTTTCTAATTGTAACGATATCAAACATCTACTCCAAAAGCGGGAGAGACCGGACAATATAACGTGTGGTACTATTCGCCGGTCACTAGTAAATCCTGGTCAAAACAGACCGGGAGAGACCGCATTTACCGATAGGAGTGATAAAAAGATATATCTATAAATAGGTTTTTGGAATATTTAGGTCATCAACTGATCATTCTAGGATACATGTACAACAATAACATACCATGACATGATAACCGACTGTGTACTACAAAATGATAAATAAAAAACCCCGAAGAGCGCGATTTATTGACGGAAAAGGTTATTTCATTTGTAAATTTTGCATTGCGAAAATTCATTGTAACATATCGCGACATTTCATTCTTATTTAATAATCAAGCACCCTCATACCGATCGAATTTTCGGCTTTTATTATGACCGACTAAAAGGCTCGAGAAGTTGCTGTCGCCCTTTCACAAAATCTGATCTCATTCCATAAGAGCGCCGCGCTTCGGCGCGGACGCCAATAATAGATTTAAATCACTACAATGATGGTCCAGTGCCTCTAGACGCTCGCAGAAATCACGATCACAAGGTAGAAAAATATATGTTTATTATCTATCCAGTTTTTACATCTTTCATTCATTATCGTATAAAATCGGTGAGAAGATATGAATAAGACTTATAAAGAACACTTCAGAGGGTGAATAGGGGACATTTATGATATTTTAGCATTTAATCATCCAAGTGCATTGCCCGGTATATACCGTAATACGGTATCTGGGCGGTGCTCCATCACATAGTCTCGCTCAATAATTTAATGTAATTACCCTTTAAATACTTTATAATAATACTATCCGGCTTAATATGTGTAGATAAAGTTTCTTACTTTCACTTCACAGATATCTTTAAGACATTTGGAGATTTAAAGGTCCATTATGTCCCAGAAATGCTGTTACTGTAGCCATAATGGCTTATATTGTTTTACGACTATATGGACAAAAGTTTACCTTAACGAGATATGTCTTATCTTTAAATGTTTGTACACAAATAAATGATTACATTTGTTTATTAATATGTAATTATTCTTAAAATTTTGATTAGAGATTTTGTAACTGTTTCATATAACACGCGTGGTAAATGATCGAGCTACCTCTTTCGGATGTACCGGTATACGGTAAATCGCTCTATCGCTACCTCCGAGCTAGTGCATGTCGTTAGAATCAGCTGTCAGCAAAGGTAAAGTGTTTTCTATTTTCATATCTTTTGTAAACACTACTGAGTACATCAAATATCGAAATTCTAAGAATGCTTTACCATGTAGATTTGATTAAAGTTTCCAGGAAGTGTTAAGTTGATAAATTTGTGTTTGAAATGTAGTTGTAGTTGCGTTTCCCAGTCAGCAAATTCAAAATAGAAATATATTAGACTGTAAATATTTTACACCGGATGCCGGTACAGACCGGAATGATAACGACAAAATAACGCAATTCATTAATAAAAGGCGAGCGGGAATGACGTCATTGAATGGTCGGCGGCTGTAAGACAGGTTTTATAGCACCGGTGTAAACGGTAGATAATCCTGTCTGGTATGCAAGAAAGAATTGAATACACTGACATTACCATGTCTTCCTTAGAAAGCTGTGGAAACTCGTCCGTTATCATGCCAAATGGATCGACCAGCTGCCTCTGAAATTCAGAAAAAAAAAGTCTTTGTAAACAAATAACAAACAGGAAATATCTTTAAAAGGGTACTTGGCCTTAGTAAAACTGGTTAACTTACATATACTTGTACGTTTTATTTTAAAACTATCCTTTACATTTTATAATGGCAAAAACTATCATATACATTTTATTTTAGAACTATCCTTAACATTTTATTTTAGAATGGTAAGAACTATCCCTTACATTTTAATTTAAGATGACCAATCAGATTCCCAGATTTAAATTTGAAATTTAAAATGACCAATGAAAGTAAGATTTAAAGGAAGTCAAGCTGAATTTAGATGGCCTTTGCCAAAAAACAATGAAATCTGACTAACAGCGGAATCTATGTCTGTATGTTAATTAAAGGGAATAATTATTTTAACTGTAAAAAATGACCAAAGTTTAAAAAGCATTCCAACGCTGTTCACTCAAATTGGATAAGAATGGCTCAAAAATACGATTTCAATTAATTTCTAAGGATATCCCTTAATTATATTCTACATATATTTCTGCTTTCAGCTGATTTTTATTAGAAATTCAAATTTTATGATATTAGACCTTTGTACCTCAAATGAGTTAACTTTCACTACTTTGTTTAGTTTGTTTTTTCTTCTACTATTTTCACTCTTAGAAGTAAAATATTTTATAGAACAGAACAGATACTTTATTTTTGACTGTTCAATAATATATCGTCATACATATATTAACAATTTTACAATACATACTAACATAAATCACAAGATCGGATCTAAACATGTTTCTTTCATATCTATATAGAAGATGACATTTCTATATAGAAGATGAATTATTAATATATTAAGTTGTATCTACTATATATAAGTTATTTCTATGAGACATCGCATCTCGTACATACAAGGATAAATTTAAATGGTATTCATCTTCGACGTCATGTAGATTACAATATAAACAATATCTTTCATTTCTAACAATTCTTTTTCTATGAAACCTTCCAGTTTGCACATGTAATGAATGCAAAGATTTGCTATTGCTTGTAAGATACTTCCTTAAAGTACTTGGTATTATATCAAGTAACTGAATTATAATGATATAAAGTAGATATTTTCATTGTCCTCGTCAGTCCTCGTCATATGGTGCTGAATTGACAAGAGTAGATGATTCATACGCGCTCTTAGGACGAACTATTTTTTTAAGGTCACGTAAACTATTTTTTGAGATCACGTGAGCAGTATTTATACGCAACCAAGTGAGATAGGGAAGAAATACTAACTGTCAAAAGCTGTCTTCTTGAGAACCGTGTCCCATACGTATGATCCAGAAGCATGCCGTCACAACAAGCTGCCATTGTATTTATGAAATCCTAAAACAGGCAATGTGAAGTTATGCTTGTATGACTCACATGTAAAATGTAACATAGATAACATCATTAAAGGCACATTATGCTTTAGGAATGCTATAATGTTTATTTATTAAAAACTTTCTATCTTTGATATCTTGTCACAGTTTCCAGAAAATATTCATTTGTCATATACATAAACTATCTTTTGCTTATTTCTCTCTGTTTGCAAATTGTATATTAAGTGAATAAGCATTTTGTATGGAAGTCGTAATAATATTTCGTTTACATTTTGCTACCTTTTGCGACACACTCACTCTATGTTCAGCGGCACTTTTTCAATTGTTGAATATCTAACATGCGCTTAATCCATTACTAAAACATTATCAAGCACATGTTTGGCATTTCAAAAGTATTTCTAAAATATGGATTTCTGAGGTATAATGTGCCTTTAACATCAAAAGAACGCACAAATATCAATTGTAAGAAATAAGTGAAGAAAAAAACTTCGATATGTTTTATCACCACATGACATGAATTTTAAAACTAAAACTAGAAACACAGCCTTTTTAAAGACAATCAACATGATGTCACAACAATGTTTTAACAATTTTTTTGTGAAACCCTGAGATAGTATGCTCTGTTCTAATTTTGTACAACAATTTGATCTCTCTTATAATAGAAACTATTATTGTTTGATTTTTAGAACAAAGTTCAGATATAATTTACATAATCTTTCAAACTATACGCATCTCTAAAAAAAGTGAAGGATATAATATATTGTACCAGATCTAAATTTCCTACGGGAACAAAGAAAACGTCTCTCTGTGACCTTCTGAAACCTTCCATCTCTTGTAAAATCTTTGCCTTTGTCTGTAAAAATCATATTTTTCATTTATTTCTGACTTCACATATTTATGTCATTTGTAAGTATATTATTTTTTCTTATAAATTTTCCTGGAAAAAATAAT